GCGCAGACATGCACCTTCGACAAATATGATCCTCAATAGAATATCGGATCTTTAAACAATATGCTACTAAATATTAGTGTTGTTGGTTTTATATATTTTTTACAAAGGTAGACTATTATTTATCTTCTGAAAGATACAAAACAAATATGTTTCGAACGAATTGGAAAAAAAAGAAATGCAAATACCTCTGACCCTGTTCAAGTGATCCAAAAGCGAAAAAATTTTGAAATTTTACCATCACCAAAATTCATTTATAATTATCACAAATGTATATCGTACTTCTGTTTGTAAGTGATGTTGTTGATATCGGATGTGTATGAATTTAAATTAAAGTTGTCGTTGCGGCTTTTATCATAAATAGGTGGATTCGAACGAGACTTGGTGAGATATTACATTACACCAATACATCCTTCGTCAAAAAGTCGGCTCAATTAGACAGATGACAGCTTGGTTTAGCGAGTTCGCTTGTTTCTAAATAAAAGTCTGATCACAAGGGGATATGTTATAGTGACAATACCAATAGTATAGCATAGCATTTATTTGCGATTTTCACCGTGTTTTTTGTCCCCTTTCATCCATCATATATAATCCAGGAACTTGTTGGCCACAATTGAGGTGGTGTGTTCCATATCCACATAAATGGGGTAATACTAGTACATGGATATTAAAAAGGAAATCAAATTAACCAAGAAGTTTACCAGTTCAGTATTAGAAATTTCTATCAAAAATTCAACTAGACAGATTTTATAAAGGGTTACTTTATTAGACTAGACTAGGAATTGGCATATTTTTAATTGAAATCTGACCATGGTTTTCTCGTACTTCATCARTACGTGAAAAATACCATTTACTTGTTTGAAAAAGCCAGTGCATACTTGTGGTAAACAAGTTGGTAACTAATAGATCTGCCTGCTGGGTTTACTATGCAATACAAGTCCAGATATAATCACATAAATACTTGCTAAATGTACCCCTTCATTTAATATTCAAACACGCACATTAATGACGTTAATGAAATAACCGAAATTACTAGATGAAATTTTTGATTAAGTCGAGCATGCTTGAAATATTATGGTGTATTGCTTCATATTAAACAAAAAAAAAAAATAATTTCCTGAAGTGAAATATTATAAATATATGAGGTCTAGTAGAAATATATTCAATATTTTTGCACTAAGTTGGCTGTATTATTTAACATCTCACTTAGAGGAAATATAAATATGCACGGTTTTGTTCGATAATTTATTGGCATTTTATAACGCCACTCTCAAAGAGACCCTCATCCCTATTGGCGAAAAACTGAATAGTCGATTTTTCCAAACCTAGTAATCACTTAGTAACAGGTCCAAACTATAAAGTGGATGTATAAAAAACATTAAAACGACGCTCCCGATCTCTTGGCTGCCACTACCCATGTCTGTGGCCTGACGTTTTCCGATTGACGATTGCTTCCTTCAGATAATCTAATTATTGACAGTACCAATCCTAATTAAGAGTTAAATTATGATGTTAATCCTACCTTTTCCGGCTTGACCACGGTTTGCCCCGGCTCATCGCGATTCGACTACCAGCCTTTTTCCTTGATGTCCAACTTTTCATCGCGAGTAAATATCTCATTCAGAAATGGTTCGACTTAGTTACGATTCAGCGGATATTCCCCGAACTACATGAGATGTTCTAAGTTAAGCCGATTGCTACAGTATCAGGACCAGAAAGGCTATGCATACCACGCCTTTATCGCAGAAAAACTATAAATTATGGCGTTTTTGCTAATGACCATCTTTTTCCAACAATACTGAGTCAAGTGATAACAAACAACCTTCTAACTTTCCATCTATGGGAAATACACTGAATTTCATTTTCTGCTTCTTCTTTACTGGCACATACCAGCGTAGCCGCCATCTTTTAACTAGCTCAACTATGTCAATGCCGTCGTACTGTTAAAAGAGAATATAGCTTTAGAAAAGGTTAAAAAAAAAACAATCTTCCTATTCTATTTTAAATAAACATTAAAATTAAGTACTGGTCGAGTTCACAATCGAAACAATGTAATGTCTGCCATCAATAAAAAAGGTGGCAAAATTGTAAAAGTTAGATTTCGAATTACTTAGTTATCAATCGCATTCTCTATATCTGGACACTAGGTGCTTTTTCTGGTCAACAGTCCAAAAAGAGAGCTCATTGAAAAGAACTTAAGTGAAGAGTTAGTCTTTTCCATTCCCACGACAGTCGGATCTAAGTAACCAGGATGGACACGGATCTTTATCCGGCCAAGGACTGCCAACTTGACACGATTAGTTGAAATTAAATCAGAAATGATTTCTGCCGCTAAACAAGTAGTTTGCAATTGGCTAAACATATTAGAGCGACCCAAATGACAAAAAAGCATCCGGAAATTGAATCCAAAAAGAAAATACAAATAAACGTAAAGTGTAAACTGTAAAGACGAGATAGGAACTTCGAAATACGAAAAAACGTGAGAACAAACAATAATTACTAAATTCGATAAAAAAAATTCTAGAAAAAAAGTACAAATAAATATGGTGTTGATTTAAAATCCCCACAGCTGATAACCGATAAAGTAATCGTTAAGTGAATTTGCAAAAGGAAAAGTGTTGAAAGCACTTAACAAATAATTCAAAAATCGCAAAAACGTGACCCGCATGATAATTTTACAGCGAAAAGCACGCGAAATCTCATTGTGAAGTATTGATTTCTTCATCGCCCATTCCACGCAGGTACGTAAAATAACTTAAGCTTATAATAAGAGCATAACGAGTCCTCACTTGTGTTATTCAGTTTGATTTACTTGTTGCTCATTTTCCTAGTTTTCTTCGTACAAAGTACCGGAAATAAAGTGTTTTTGTAAAAGAGTGACAATTTATTGGTCGAGAAGACAAGTTGAGGCGAGTTGGAACTTAAATGAATTGTGTCAATAAGCGAAGGGAAAAGAAACTGAGAAGCTTAAATTAAATAAGAAGTGACTGAAGTGACTGACAAATAGTCGGGTGTGTAAAATATGCTGCATGAATTAAAAGTAAGAAGTCATACTAAATTGGATTTAAAATGATGTGAGTTCAATGAAAGGTTTTTACGGTTTTGCAAAACATTTTATGTAATAGTAAATAATTTATAGATTGCTTCAATTTTAAGAATTTTCTTATCAAAAAAATATATTCAAGGTACTATAGAATCCAACATTTTCGTTTTCATAACGACCTTAGATGATTAATGATATTTAGAACAGGAATTGTATATTTGTAAAAATTATTCTGGTTTAGAATGGTGTATGGGTTTCAAAAAATCGATTTTTTTATAGCCTTATTAAATTCTACAACATCTCTAGAATATTATCCTAAATTCGAGTTGCTCCGAGCAATAGTTTCGGAGATACAGCCTTGAGAACTTGTGCGCTCGAGACTAACTAGGCTAAGTGCGCCATATTTAAACATGTTTTTCTCAAAACTGTGTTTTTTAAGTCGGTTGAAGGATTTTTTACGATTATAACTATTTCAAAAAAAATATCGCGAAATTTTCATTGAAATATTTATAATAAATTTAAAATAAAAAATATCTGCCAAAAATCTAATTTTCAATTTTTTTTCTTTCGCCCAAGTTCTAAGTCAAGGTTCTAACTAAAACACGTATTTTGCACTTTGGATGACCCTGTAAGGAGTTATCTTGCCAACGTGGGTGGATCTTTTTTCCTAGGGGTTACCGAAAGTGGCGTCGCATTAACCGAGTTCAAAATATTTATTCCAGAATTTTTTTCTTAATAGTGTGTGTTTGTAATAATAAACAATTTTAATAAAATATTTAATTTTTTATATGAAAAAAAAAATTGAGAAAATCGACTTTTTACCCGAGGAAACCCATGTAACCCCTTAACTAGACAGTTTTGGACCTGGTCTTTTTGACAGGCATGACCTGATTTATATTCAGTTTGGTTTGTCATTTTATAATGAATGCACAGAACGTTTACTCTAATAGATAATGTGCACCCACAGAGACACTGTACAGTGCGCACCGAAAACGGTATTGCTGCTATGAAGCAAAACACTGAAGGATAAGTTCGTCCGCCATCGCGCCGACGAATTGAAGCTGTTCTTGCCAACTTTATGGGAGGATTTTCACAAGGTTCTTGGTTTACGGGCATACAAAATCCAAAGCGCGTCGTACGTTCGGTGATTGGACCCAAACCGGTTGACCATCGATAACGATTTTCATACGAAAATTGTGTTCGTTGACGAAGCTCACTTTTGGTTGCATRGGTATGTTAAGAAACAAAACTATCGAATTTGAAGGAATGATAATACACAAGCTATTATTGAGATGCCGTTACATCCTCAAAAAGTCACTGTTTGGTATGCCCATTGGACAGCAGAGGGAATCATTAGTTCATATCTCTTCAAATATGAAGTCGGTTATAAAGTTACTGGCAATAGGGAACGCTGTAGCGCTATGGTTTTTCGTGCYTGGATTGGAGGATGTTGATATGGACGAYCTTTRSGGTCTACAAGACTGCGTTAAATATCATAAAGTCAACGAAACAATCGCTTTATTCAAGAAAACTTCTAGGAAGCGCATCACCTCGCGTCGTGAACTTATGGCATGACCTTCAAGATCGTGCGTTTTATCATCGTTAGATGTGGGTTTATGTGAAGTTGCTTATCTGCACAGATAAGCCCGAGTTGATTCAATATCCGGCGAGTTATTGCTGACATACGGCCCTAATTGCTGGAAAAAATGGTTTAAAATTGGATCTATCGGCTTTATTCGAAAAATTTCTTATCTTTATAATAAAGCAAATTTCTTCTTGAAAATCTAAGTGAACACTCTTTATTTGGTTCAATATCTAATACATGCAATCAGACTTTTTATATATAAAATGCGCAATAATCGACATATCATATAATATTTGCTTTMAAATAACTAAATTTCATTTTGCTCGCTTTTCATGAGCCAAAAAATAATTATAACAAAATTTCTTTGCCACTTACTTGTGCACATCTGCATAAAGACACCACGTCCAAATAGGAGAAAATACGTAAAAGAATTTCCTTTGGCAGTTGTTTTATAGGTTCGTCATCCGCATCCGAAGAGCTGAGGAATGTCTGCTGCAAGAAGAAAAAATAACAATTAATGAATATAGAGCGAAATTGCTTAAAACATATTACAGATCATTAAAATGTGCAAAATTACCAAATAGATGAGAGTGTGTTTGTGAAATTTCATTGATGCAAAAAGCTCTGTTATTCAAAAATACGTAATTGCATGTGATAAAGAGCATGAATCTGTTGGGAATAATTCACTCCGCCGAATTTCAAAATTCATATTATTTAACGCTGTTTATAATTAAACACAGACAGACAGAACTATTTTCATACACTAATAAATTTACAAGAATATTAATTTTTGACAAAATTGTGAGGAAATTATCTAGTTTTTGGCAAAATTTTCTAGCTGAGTTTTTTGSTAGTTGAGGGCGAAAAAAATTTTGAAATTTTAGGAATAGAATTA